GACGAAGTCGTACCAGCCGAAGCCTGGTATTTAAAATTTACGTGTTTAATGTGTGTCTTAGTTTAACGCAAGGAGGGTCAATATCGTCAAATGGCCGAGTCTTACGACGGTCCCTTGGAACGCATCTTGGTCGATTTCCCACCCTATCACTCGTATGATATTCGACCGCTTGGAGCTCCTGTAGATACATTAGTCCACGGCTTAAATAGGGTGAGGGAGTATTAGTTCTGGAGGATGCCGTGCTCCAGTGATATCCTAGGTTAGAGGTCGAAATGGGCGTCAGTTAGAAGGATCAACTAGAGGGACGCTTTCGAACACTTTCTCCAACCCCTCCCGTGAAGAGAGGGAAAACGAGGTCAGCAGGCCCACAAGCGACATCGTGGACAGCAGCAGTGGGAAAGCAAGCAAGCAAGCCGATGCTTATCTTATGTCACGGGGGGGGGGGGGGGGGGGGGGTGGGAGAGTCTAGCCCGGTTGTTAAACGCCGGACGCCAGGCGACTTCGAGAGGGAAAAAGCAAAGACAAAAAAGAAAAAAGGTATGGATGGGAGAGGTTGAGCCTCCACTCGTAGGGCGTAGGGAGTGAGCACCAGACGGTGTGCATGTCTTTCGTCTCAAAAGAGTTGGGGGGAACCTGGAACCTGGAAACTCGGGGAACCCTTTTTCTTATTAGGTAATTCGAAAACCCCAATTTCCAGCTCCCCTGCCTCTCTCTCTCCCCCTTGCTGGGCGAGACGGCCAAGTCTTGCCGGCGGAGGGGGGGCGTCACGGAGGGGGGGCCGGTGGAAGCCGATGATAGGCGGGGCCGCTACCCCTCCGGCTGGACGCGGCCGTCCGTCTATCCGTCTCTCTAGCTTAGCTTCCCATTCATTCATCCATGGTGTGTACCGTGAGGTGCCCGCTAATTGACGTCGGCGTGACCATTGGGGACGAGGGGAACCCCAAGGATGGTGTGGATGGGATGCCCTGGTCTCCTGGTAGTCGGCTGACTTGGCCGATGTTCTGACGGGAAATGCGACGGCGGGAAACCTTGGCTGCGTTCGGGTGGTTGTGTGCTGTTGCTGTTGGTTACCTCGTGAGGAGAAAAGGGAACACATGGATCCCAGACGTCTCTACGAGCACAACACACACGTGTAGGTATTCCTGTCTCTCTTTGGCACATGTGTACCATGTATTAGTATGTGCTTGTATGCACTTGTAACAGCAAGAGGTCAGGTTTCAGAGTCGATTGTTCCAAAGTAGTTGGCCTTACGTTTCCTAATGGGCCACATGGCCCAGAGATATCACATTCCACCAACCATGTAATCTTATCTGGTGATTATGATGCATTGCATCGTATTGCATCACAGACAAACAAGACCTAACCAAACAGAAACATCCCTCCACCTTCCGTTCCCGTCGCGCCCCTCCTTCGCAGCAGTGCCACCACATCCTGGTGGCCCCTCGCCGCCGCACACTGCAGCGCCGTCTGCCGGCCTCCCCAGGCCCCGACCCCGGCCCCGGCATCAATCTCGGCCCCGGCATCCAGCAGCATCTCGCACACCCGCGCGTGGCCCCCCTCCGCCGCCGCGTGCAGCGCCCTCGCCCCCTTATACCGGCTCCCCTCGGCATCCACGTCCGCCCCGGCCTCCAACAGCATCTCGACCAGCCCCTCGTGCCCGCCGTAGCTCGCCGCCTGCAGCGCCGTGAACCCCCGCGCCCGGCACGCCGCCGCGTTGACGTCGCCCCCGCGCTCCGTCACCGCCCTCGCGATGCCCTCAAACCCGCCCTCGGCCGCCGCCTGCAGCGCCGTCCGCCCTCCCGTGGCCGCCGGCGCCGCGTTCACATCCGCCCCCGCCTCCCGCAGCAGCAGATCGACCACATCCCCCGCCCCCGCCGCGCACGCGCTCTGCAGCGCCCGCACGATCCCGGCGCCGTCCGCCCGCCCGGACGCCATCTGCAGCGCGTTCTTGGCGTCGTTGTTCCCCGGCCGGTCGTTCACCTCCGCCCCGGCCGCCAGGAGCGCCGACACCACTTCCGTGCGGGACGCCGAGCACGCCGCCTGGAGCGCCGTCCGGCCGTAGTAGCCCCGTGCCGGGGCGTTGACGTCCGCGCCCGCGGCTAGGGCGGCGCGCACCGCGGGGAGGTCGCCCGCGAGCGCCGCGCGCTGGAGCGGCGTCCAGCAGTCGTCCTCGTCCTCGTCCTCGTCTTGCGCGTCGTGCTCGGCGACGTCGGAGATGGCGGGGTGCCGCATCTTCCTTGTTCTTCTTTTTCGCCTAAAACCTGCCCTGTTACTGATGCTTGTCGGTCGACTATCGTTGAGTGTTTTATTTGTTGGCTTAAAAGTGAGATGAGAAGACCCCCGTAAGCGAATCTTACCTCTTTGCGCTTCTCAGATAGGCGACGGCAATGCGGCACAACCCCCTCGTATTTCCGCCCGTCTCTTACCAGGTCATCATTGGATCAACAACAATCGCCCAAAGTGGGGGGGCATCAACATTTCCTTGTGTCATATATTTCTTCGACAGAACCAGCTATTCTTCCGTCTCGGCCTTCTTCTTGCTCTCGCTCTTCTTCTGGGGCTCGCCCTTCTTCGGCTCGTTCTTGGACCCGGCCTCGTTTTCGTAACCGCCGCCCTGCTTCTCGTACTCTTTCGCCAGCTTGGCCCCCTGCATGATCATCAGCGTTGAGAATTCGCTTCTTCTTTTTCATCGCCAGAGTGCAACAAGGAGTTGGAATGAACGAGGAGTGTATTCGTTGGAAATCGTTCACGCCAGTTCGGCTTACCTTCCATGCCGCCCACTGTCCCTCTCCGCCGCCGGACTTGTTGGGTTCTTGCTTGATCTCTGCAGTATCGTTTCAGCACCCCACCCTTGATCAGCTGATGTTGTTCCCAAAGCACTCTTACCCTCCTTGAGCTCTTCTCTCAGCTCGGGATCAGTAGGCTTCCCCTTGGATGAAGGCATCTTATCTTGGTTCTGGACCCCGTCCAAAGTTCCGAGACAACACGGTGTATTTAGAGACGTAAAGAGGCAATCGAGATGTCGTGAGATGGTAGGTGTTTTAAAGGTAAGCTTGATGCCATGAAATGAAGTCAGAATCACTTTCTAGTCAACGTTACGCCCCAGCAGACAAAGGCCCAGCTCCCGCTCGAGGCAGTGTCTCCTCCAGATGATGATGCCAGGGACCATCGATGACGCCTACAGTCTCAGCCACAAACATATGATCAGTCGGCACCGCTAGCGAACCGGCAGAGACCCCGTCCGACCCACCCCGCGCCGTCACGGCCGTTTGCTCACGTTCGCGGATCCGGGGTTGCCCGAGGCCATCCAGGTGCACACTTCATGTCTGTAAGGCGATTGTAAACTTTCCGTACCTAGCTTCTTTTTATTCACTTCCTTTCTTCTCCTCTATTTGAAGCATCTACAGTCAGGGGGGTTCATCTCCCTCTCTTCCAACATTTCTTTTTCGTCATAGCATCATGGCCCACCTTCAGTGAATCGCAACCGGCTCGAACGCGGTATCCTCCCCGACGGCCTCGCCGTTCATGATGCCGTGGACGTACGCGGCGCCCACGATGCGCCTCGCGCCCTGCCTCTGCGCGCTCCGCCGCAGCACGAACGGCGCGTTGCACCCCTTCATCACCCAGACCTCGTCGCCGGCCTCGCACCCGTCCGGCACCATGCCCACGTACCGCTCCCCCTTGGCCAGCACCAGGTCCAGCGCCGCCCGCATCGGGAACACCCGGTTGATCAGCACCTGCGCCGCCGCCTCGAGAGCCTCGCCCGCCTCCTCGGCCGTGCACCCGGACAGCATGATCTCCCTGCGCAGCGCCTCCCGCTCCGGCCGCGCCGCCGACAGGTCGTCGTCCTCGACCGCCGTGCAGAACCGCCACGCCAGCTTCAGCGTCGTCATCGGCACCTCCTCGTCCTCGTCCTCCTCCGCCTCGTCCGCCTCGGTGCGGAAGAACGTCAGCGCCCGGAGCACCGCCTCGAGCCCGGACTCCTCGCCCCCCGTCGTCGCCGACGCGTACGCCGCCTCCTCAAACCCGGGCATGCCGGCGAGCAGCTTCGAGAGCGTCACCATGTCCCGCTTCACCCAGAGCGACGGCTGCTCGGCGTGCAGGTGCGCCGGCCGCGGGACAGCCGTCACGTGGGTGATGGTGTCCACCTTGACGCCCTTGAGGAGGAGCACGTCCTCGTCCTCGTTGGGGTCGAAGCCGAAGTCAAAGTCCGTCTCGCCGGCGGCCTCCGACTCGGCCGCGTCGGCGACCGTCATGCGCCGCCAGGGCCTGCGGAAGTCGGGGATCCAGGAGGGGAAGCCCTCGCCGTTGAGGCTCTCGGCGATGCCGGCGTGGTCGAGCAGCTCCTCGCTGAAGGGCTCGTGGAGGAGGGTGCGGGCGAAGCGGAGGGCCGTCTGCTCGAACGTGGCCGAGTAGTCGGGGCGGAACTCTTCCCTGTCGCCGTCGGAGGCGAGGCCGAGGAGCGCAAAGTAGAGATCCCGCGGGTCGGTCGCCTCGACCTCGCGGAACGACAGGAGCAGGCTGAGGAGGTCTGTCGAGCGGTCCGAGTTCTCCCCGTCATCCGATTCCCATTCTTCGTCCTCGCCCTCGTCGTGCTCGTCGTGCTCGTGGCCGCCGTGGCCTCCGCAGCATCCACCCCCGTGTTCATGCCCGTCGTCATCACCGTGTCCGTGCCCGTGCCCGTGCTCGTCCGAGTTGCCCCTCATGGAGCCGAGCTGGTAGAGCCGCAGCCGCTGCGCCATGTTGGCCATCAGGTCGGCAGCGCCCTTGATCTCCTCGCCGGCGGCGTTGACCAGCGGCCAGGGCGGGCTCTCGGGCTCCTCCAGGGCGACCGTGGCCGGCCACAACTGCGACCAGCTCACGGTCTTGTCGCCGCAGATCATCAACACGTCCCGCGCCAGGATGAACTCCTGCACGACCCAGACCCGGCGGAACCACGGCCGGTTCCAGAACCGCGACACGGCCATCCACTTGTTGTCGCCCTGCGGGGGCAGCTCCGCCTCGGCGCCGCCCGCGGGCGCGTCCGGCACCGGCTCGGAGAGCAGGCCCTCGACGAAGGCGCGGGCGCCCGCGTTGAGGGGGTTCGGGAGACTGACGCGCCAGTACCTCTCGATCAGCTCGATGGCCTCGCCGCTGCCGTCGGCCTCTTCGCCGAGGTAGGCCAGCACGCGGCGGGCGCCGACGTAGATGTCATGCATCAGCGTGATCTGCGACTCCTTCTCCCTGCTGTCGGCCTGGTTGATGCACAGCGCGTCGGCCCAGATGAGACGCGGGCGGTCCTCGAGGCGGATGCGCCTGAGGCAGTGGAAGAGGTTCTCGGTGATGGCCATCTCGGCGCCGGCGGGCGAGATGATGATGCGCCGGGGCTTGTCCTCGGAACCCCACACGTAGGAGAGGGCCTCGTACGAGTCCGCCGACTCGGGGAGCTCTCCCTCGTGCTTGCCGGCCTCATTGAGGTAGGTACCGATCGGGCGCACGAGCAGGTCGCCTCGGAGGGGCTCGTCTAGCTTCCCTGGCGCGAGAGAGAGGATTCTGAAATCCCGCTCGCCAATGGCGGCGTACTTATACTCGGCCATGGTAAAAATGAGGTGTTTTTTTTTCCCCCTTGTCTAGAAACCGAGTTTACGGGCTTATGTGAGTGGAAAAGTGATGAGTGACCAAGTTTTTGACGTTGTGCCGGTGAGAGAGAGAGTGTGTGTGTGAGTTGAGTAAGTGAATGAATGAATGATTGGCGAGAAAATTCAGACGTTTTGGGAATGTGGAGTGACATTTGGAGCTGGAGATGCAGGAAAAAACGGTGCATGAAGATCCCACAGTTTAAGGTGGAAGGATTTTTGATTTAATTACTGGCTTTTTATTAATATCATCCGCCCCATTAATGAGCAGTCTATGCGGGAAATCTCTACTCACCTCTGCCGACTACGAAGGTGCTTTGTATATAGCTTATTGTTCGTTGAGTCGAGACTTGACAAGAGACTAAGAGTTGCCTCTCATCCATGCTCAACTTATACCAGATAAAACACCCTGAACCCAGAATCGGGCTTGGATTTCAGACATTTCACACATGGCACCAAGTGAAACCCAGATATTGAAAGACCAAGAAGGAACCTTTTCTTTTTTTGATCATTCATGAACTATCGAAAAGAACCGAGCACTTTCGCTCGATGCTGCAACTCTGGTCTTCTTTTGATGTAGTCGCGAAAACCGACCAAAAAAAAAAAAAAAAAACAGTACTACTACAAGATAATACATGGTACATGCACCATCACCGCACAACACCGCAAAGCCCCTTAGACGCCGAGGGCCGAGTTGAACGCGTCGGCGGCAGCCTGGCCCTTCTGGCCCTGCGCCGCGGCCTGACCCTGTTTGCAGGCGTCGACGGCGGCGGCATCGGCCTTGCACTTTGACTGGAGCTGGCCGCAGATGAAGCTGCTGATGACGTTGATGTTGAGGGCGGAGCCGTGCTCGAAGTCGCCGGCGGGGGCGAAAGACTCCTCCTTGCGACCGTCGAGGCCGGCGGCGAACTCGATGCTGGGGTCCTGGCAGCTGCCAAAGTCGAGAGCCTGGCGGGAGGCGATGCGCATGCGGTGGCCGCCGGAGGAGCGACGGAGCTTCTTAAGGGACGCGGCGGCGAGGCACTCGTCCTCCTGGGCCTGGCAGTCGGCGACGGTGATGTCCTCGGCGCCCGAGTTGGCGGCGTCGGAGCAGGCGTTGTTCTGCACGGAGCACGAGCGCTGCAGAGCGGCGCCCTTGTTGACAAACGTCGAGCCGTTGACATCAAAGGGCTTGTCGGTGGCGGCGGGAGACGAGTTGACGGGCGGGGCGGGGCCGCCGAGGGCGCCGGTGAAGGTCTGGACATTTGTCCCGGTGGCAGCACCAGCGTTGTTGTTCTGGTTCTGGTTCTGGTTCTGGTTCCGGTTCTCGATCTCCCTGACCTGGCGACGGCCCGAAGGAAGGATAGTCGTGGCGCGGCGGCCTCTGGAACGGAATCTTCTGGCGACCTTGGTCGAGTTGGCGGCATTATCAGCGCCGTTGCCGGCGTTTCCGGAGACCTCGGCGGCGGCTGCGGCGATCTCGTCGGCGCTGGCGTCCTTGACGAGCAGGTTCTGGCTGAAGATGCAGCCCTCGGCGTCGTTGGCGTCGTCGCACGTGTTTCCTGCTCCGGTGCTGTCGTTGACCTTTTTGTTTGCTTTCGTCAGTCCGAGTTCTGCTTGACTATACACACCTCTATAATGGGTGTCTCAGAGGGGGGAAAGGAAAGGTGAAAGACTTACATCACCGGGCTTGAAGGTGCCAGAGTCGAGCGCGAGCTGGGGGTCTGCGCCGACGGAGGCGAGCTGCTTGGCCAGCTCGAGGGTTATGGCCTTGTTCGTCTCGGCGGCGCCTTCCGAGGCCGGATCCTGGTGCTGGCTCAGGGCGGCGATCTCGGGGTTCTCGGCCTTGTCGGTGCAGAGCACGCTCTTGAGGCCGACCTTGCCCGTGTTGCGCTCGACGGCGGCGTAGACGAGGGCGCTGGCCATGCCGTCGACGTCGCCGGCGGCCTTGGCGGTGGAGAAGGCCGAGTCGGCCGTCGCCTGGTGCAGACAGTCAAGGTTCTTGACATCGCCGGCGCCGTCGGCGGCGGCGGCATTGCCCAACAGGCCGAAGACGGCGTCCTGGATGTTTTGGGGATTGTTCTGCTTCAGGAGGTCGTTGACGGCCCTCAAGTACTTCTCGTGCGAGTGCTCCTGCGGCACCTCGGCAGCGGCGAGGGTGAGGAGGGCCGCGAAGGCGGCGGTGGAGGCCTGGAACTTCATAGCGGAAAGGCTTAGGGGAAGTTCGAACAACACACTAGTAGAACGAGTGCTGTTGCTGAGTGAAAAAGAAGGACCGGCCTTGTAGAAAAGGATCACGAGGAAAGAATGAAGGGTATAAAGTACACACGAAAGAAGGAAGTTGCCAGAACTGAACGAAAGAGAAGACTGCTGAAGGAAGAGCTTGATGAGGAAACAAAACTTCGTCCCATCATTGAATCGCAGAAGACGAGGGGACTTATATACGGCATTGACTGCAGCGGGTCGTGAACGTCCGGCACACCAAAGGGGGGGGGGGGGGGGGGTAGCGGGCTGTCAAGATGCTCGCTTCCGTCTGTTTGGGCCTCCCCGTCTCACAGCCGCGAATGTGACGGCGGCCCCTGAGCAACCCGGTTGGGAAGACCAGCGCGCCGATCGGCAAGACGTTGGCGTTTCTACCGGCCGGTGATGCATCTTGGCAGCCATGTAACACCAGGAGTGGGCCAACTTGTGAGGCACTTCCCTCCTCGGCTGGGCTGTCCTCCGGAGGCGGGCATCCGCATGGTATCCATCCGTATGGCAATGAGAAAAGGAGGCAAGTTGTTGCTTGTGTGCGAGCCAATAGTTCTTCCAGTTCCGCTGGGGAGGGGGCAGCGCAAGGTTGACGATACGTGACAGGTTGCGCGCACCGTTTCCAATCTGAAGAGAATACTCGGTACGGATATCAGTACCTTATGCCAGTACGATGGAAAGGGGTGTGCGTAGGAAGATGAGGTTAGGTGGAGGACATACAAGAATAATCGGAGCAGAATAAACGGAGCTCGATCAATCACTTGAGACGAATTCAGTAGAGGCACACGGGCGACGGAGGCGGGTTTGGTAATTGGTGAGCAGATTCTGTTGTGAGCCCGGCGGGAGACCAAGCTCGCTCGCTGGAGTCGATATCGACAAGATGGAGGTCCGAAGTCATCCCATCTGACCGACGCCTAGTAGTAGGGATCGGCTCCGCGACTCGAGTCAGAGCCCGGCTCGCTTGGTCAAGGACTCAATGACGCAGGTGGAAATGTTTCCTCGGCTCATTCAGGCGGCAGGCACGGATACTCCTTCCAGAGTGGTAATCCGTACCAGAGCTCGAAAAGCGAGCTGGCCCCTTTTTCGGGATCCTCAATCAAGGTGTGGTCCCTCCAGCCCTTGTCCGAAAGTGACATACCTAGGTACATACCATACCTGTAGGCTGTAGCCTGTAGGTAGGTACATGGCAGGCTGGAGTTGAGCAGAGTTTGAGCATCGTGCAAATCAGACGGTGCCTGTCGCGGAAGAGTGTTTCCTGTAAGCGAGCCGCCCCTCGGAGCCACGTGATTGGTTTACTTGGTCCCAGTTCGGACTGTGTGTTGTGGGGAAGGGGCGGGCCGTTGCTGGGGTCTCGAGGAAACCGGATCCCTGCTCATCCTCAAACCGCGTGGCATACTGCGTAGAACTCGTCCGTGATGCTAGGTACACCACAGGTAGATCTACGGTATCCGTATTGATATTCATTCATACCTGTCTTGTGAGCCATCTTGGCTTTGTCCTATCTTTTGCTTGTTGCCACGTTCCGTGCAGCAGAATATGTCTGTATCCTATAATAGCGACCGCTTTCTTATAGCGGCCTTGACATGTCTCGCCAAGAGTTGTCATCTCATCTTTCGTCACCATTTGCTTCCCCCTCTAGCACGAGGTACGAGCCTAAACATAGCCTGACATCAATGACACCTTGGAAATCCAGACCGAGGAGCTTTATTTATTCTAATGAAACTCTCGGGCAAAAAAAAAAACTCAAACTTAAATGTCATATGTGAGAGTCAGCGGCTATACGCAGTAAAGACGGGAGAGAGAGAGCTGTGTTTCCATATGACTTGCAGAACGCGCTTCGAAACAGCAAACGAGTAAGGGAATAAAAATAAAAGTACTCTCTTCGTCGATGGGGTGTGCTAGACATCTCCTGCGACGCCAAGACCTCTCCAAACACCCCATCTACTAGTCCTCCTCCTCCTCCTCCTCCTCTAACAATCCATCGCCTTGGTCGTTACGCCGGACCGCATCTCCGCTAAGTGTCATCCATCTTCCCCATGACCATGATCCCATCCTCCCAACCCAACATTATCCCGTCAGCCCATCCTCAAATGACGGGCAGGCGGCTGCATGACATACCTTTATGCCTCCTCCCCTGTGCCGCTAACCCACCTAAAAAGAATAAAAAAATATTCCGTCCCAGACACCAACGAGTCACTATCCCGGGTAATGTGCCCCAATCGGGACGGCATCACCCAAGCGCCGTCTTTGCCACACCACCCGTCATCTGTCAACCTTCCGTCACACGAGAGCGCGGGGGCCGTGTGATCGACACGGTCACGTCGGTCAAGTACCGTGCCGTGCCGTCTCAGACGTCGCCGGGAGGATTGTTACCCACACCCATCAAAGCCGGCCCGGAATCCCCTACAAGCCCTTCCTGACGGAACCATTCGTGACGCCTGGATGCTGCTGCTGCTGCTGCTGCTGCTGCTGCTACTGCTGATAGGTAGGTGCTTATATATATACCAACTTTGGTACCGAGGCCCTCACATGAGTTTCGACTGCCACCGTCCGCTTATCATTCCGTCCTCGGAACACCTCGTAGCATACTCGTCCCGGTCCAATGACAGATAGTCGGGGTTGTCCGTGCTTTCCCTGCTGTTCGTTAGTCAATCACTGGCCACACACGCATGCACACATACACACACACACATAAACGCCTCAAACCGACGTCAGCACTGGCTATTAGGAAGGTGCGAGGCTGCTCATTGTTCCTGGACGCTCGTGTGACTTTTGTACATTGGCATCATTGCCCGGAGGGACACGTCTAAGAACAGAAAAAAAAGAAAACGACCTCTTCGTCTCTCTGGGTTGGCCCAAACCAGCACCACCTCGTCTCCGATGCAAAAGAAAAGTTGGTCTAGTAGTTTGTTGTTGTTGCCATCAGCGTCCGCGTCCCCTCCGGAAAGGGGCCCAGGCTTGCTCTCCGTACTCCTTGCCTTCTACCCGCGTTCCGTCTTATACTCTTACAGTGGTGCTGCTTAACCGATGACCAACTTGCCATCCTCGGGGAAGTCGTATTCGGGGATCTCGAGGTTGAGAGGAGCCGGTCCTTTTCTGATACGGCCGGAAATATCGTAGTGCGATCCGTGGCAGGGGCAGAACCAACCGCCAAAGTCACCGGCCTCGCCGATGGGGACACAACCCAAGTGCGTGCAGACGCCTGTAATCAATATCGAGTCAGCAAAGCCCCTTCTTGCAACCGACACCAAAAGTCCCTAGTGTCAAAATTGGTTGAGCCGACGTGGCTGCTTGGCTCTAGCGTCAACCCGCTCCTCGGCAAACCGGAGTCCAATCGCGAAACTTTTGACAAGGAGTGTAGCCGAAAAACAAAAACGTACCCAACATGATGAGCCACTCGGGGTTCTTGACGCGGTCCTCGTCGGCTTGGGGGTCACGGAGGGAGGAAATGGAGACCTTGTTGGCCTCATCGATCTCGGCCTGAGTGCGGTGGCGGATGAAGACGGGCTTGCCTCTCCACTTGATGATAACCTGTTGTTCGTCCCCTCGCGTGTCAGCATAGCCATCCCCCGGGTTCGAGTTCATTGCACTGGGAATCATGTCTTCGGGCCACTCACGTTCTTGCCCTCGGGGATGGTGGACAGGTCGACCTCGACCTTGGCCATGGCCAAAACGTCGGCGGAGGCGGACATGTTGACAAGGAACTCTGCAATTGGCACCGCCCGTCAGCCTACAATTCAAACATTTACTTCTCCGCCCTCTGGAATTCCGTCATGCTCGTCTCCGGTGTCGGCTTTTGGTTGTTTTCGGGGCAACGGAAGGGTTTCCCTACCCTGGACAGTGGACTTGGCGCCGGCGGCGGTAATGGCGCCCATGGTGCCGACCATGAAGTATCCGAAGAGCTGGTTGGTGGCGGGGCTGGTCTTGCTCATGTACTTGCTGAAATCGGGGATCTTGTTGCCGGCCTGGGCACCCTTGAAGGGGCTCGAGTAGCTCGTGGCGGTCGAGTCGTTCCGGGCGGCCGAAGTGCTGAGGGCGCGCGCAGCCGTGTTCGCGGACGGACTGCTTCGCGCCAACTGCCGCAGGCAGGTTCGGGATACGTGTGCGAGAGGCGCCATCTCGTGAAATCCGGAGGAGGAGGGGAGAGGGTTTGCGGGCGTGGGTTGCGAGATGCAATTGGGAGGGATGACGTTGGGGGGTTAGGAGAGCGTCTTTTTTTCGTGATGCCCGTGGTTTGAGGATTGGGATTGCCGGGAAAGCTTTCTGGTTGATGGCCTCAGGCATATGTTTTCTGAAATTGATGGCTGGTGATTGGCTGGCCGAGACAGCTGGGGACCCGGCCCTTTCCGGAGTGGCACGAGTGATGACAGCGTTACTGTGGATAATTGCATTCCCCCCATTAGCAAAAGGCACATTGAGGTAAAAGTTTTGGGTTTCCGTGCTTGTACGAGTTCCACCGCTCAGTGCACAATGGTCCTGGGGTTCCAATTGAATCATTCCACTTCACCTTCAGAAAACTCTATCGGGTTTAGTGGTGAATGGACATCCAAGTCCGTGATATTCCCCGTCGTTGGCCGTTAACGAGGCTTTGTTTGGGCCGTTTCCCGCCACCAAACTCCTCTTTCCCATATATATCCTACATTTGCATATACTTCTCTAATGCATGCGCTTCAACTCCTCAACCAGGTTGCGCATGCTCTCCACCGTCGGTCCCAGACCTTGAACCACCGCCTCTTGCTTTGCCTCGTCCAAATCCAAGAACCGTTCGATCAACTCGCCGTCGACAAACCGAAACGGGCCTTCCGCGGCACGCTTGGCATTCCTGAAGCCTCGCCACGTCGTAAATGACAGGCCGGAACCAGGCTCACCGTCGGCTTGTCCTAGTGCTCTCACTACCTCTGCCAGCCTCTCTTGAAACTGGATTAACAAGCTCTGGTATTCCGACTTGATGTCAGCAAACACATACAACGACCCCTCGACCTGTTGTCACCTATCAGCACATGTACACGTATTTTCCGGTGCGTTGAAACCATCTTACTGTAGCAAGAAACGCCTTGGGGATAATGGGGTCGTTCTCGTTGGGCGTTATGTCGAGCGATCGGATCTTGTTCACTTGTTCCCCGAGATGAAATTCACCGGTGACCTCCATTTGCTTTCGGTCGTGCTCTGTCGGTGCGTTAGGATTTCTTCTCAACACCATCAGGTTGCCCTGCGCATCCGCCTCCAACCAAGAATGCCCCTCTAGGTGGCACACCGAAGTGGCCCAGATGTACTGAAAATGGCGGGCTCGCTCCACGAGCTTGGCTTTGTTTCCGTCCTGAGCCGGAACGAACTCGACCAAGGTCAACGACTGCATCAAATCGGCGATGCCAATCATGTTCCCATGGACATCGATGTCGACGGGGAACGTCGAAGGCCGGAAAGTGGCCAGCTTGCGCAAGGCCCCTGATGTGGTCGACTCCTCGACATAATCGTACACTACCACGGTCTTGCTCAGCCCAGCAACAAGCTTCTCACCCATGACGCCAAGGCTTCGGCAAGCCCCTTTCAGCTCGTGGCTAACAATCAAGTACGGGTTCTTGTCCGAGTCGACACCAAGGACGAGAATGCGGCCTTTGGTGTCGCCGCTCTCGTCGATGTCCGGATCGGCCAGATAGCTCGTACCAACAATGAATCTCTCTGCGGGCTGCCCCATACTATCTGGCAGTTCCGCTCTGATGACACTCTCAACCATCTCTGCCGAGATCGAGCCGTCCAGGTGGAAGGGCTTGCCGACGACTCCGAGAACGATCTCGTCAACGAGCTGGAACGAGCTGGTGACCACTTCTTCATTGTTGGTCAGTTCGCGGTGAATGGTGCCAATGCCGAAAGCTCGCAACGCTGGCGAGTACGCGACCCTTCGAACCGTCTCGCGCAGCTGCAACGGGTTGACATGCGTCCTTCTTTCGGGGTCAATGTGGGCAATCCTAATGTTGCGGTTCGTGGCGAGGAAAATGGCGTCGGGGAATGCCTCCGAGTCGAAAGGCGCGATATAAGTTACATCCTCTGCGGTAGCTGCCGAGTACATGACGCGTGCTTCCGAACTGTAGATGAGGCTGGAGTGCTCGGTGGTGGCAAAAATGTTGCTGATACCCTCGTCGCCTGGTCGAGGCAGGATGTGAAGGCCAGCCTGCTGGCTGCCCAGCGTGACGCTCTTCCGGCTAGACAGCGAGAAATCTTCTTTTGACACGTTGAAGGACACCACCTGCCCGTCTTCCATAGCTACGAAGAGAGTGGGACCTAGGAGGTGTGGTGGGTGAAGCTGTACTAGGGCCAGGTCTCTTGGGACTGACACACTATCGTCAGTTTGTTTCACGGTTTCTCCCTGGAGAGCGTGGAGTGTGCCGAGATGGATGATGGACACTGAACCGGTCGCCCAGAAGCCGACCACACCAATGTCATCAAGGTCGCGAGCGGCGTGAATGCAGGAGATTTGATCCTCCTGGCCGCCAATAGGGCGGCACAAGACCTGCTCTTGAGCCGACAGGTTATCTGACAGGTTCAGAGACACCAAAGTTGTGCCACTGATGGACAACAAGGCCCACTTGTTATTGGCCGACGCGTTGACGATTGTCTTCCCGTCCGGCACAGCCCAAGTGCTTAACGTTACGCCACTTTCCGAGTCAAGCACTGTCACGGCGGTGGCTGTGATCTGCAACAAATGGCCACTGGGCAAAGTCGTCGCAACCAACGTGGGTCTATCCAAGACGAGGCCTTGGAAGTCAAAGACCTCTTCAATCCCTCCTTCCGGGTCGAATCTGAAGACTCGGGTTTCCGTAATGAAGGATACAACGAGGGTGTCGACCTTGGCCGAGCCATAGGATCGGAGACTGAACAGCCCACGAACATCGCGCAGGTCGTCGAGAACGCCGATGTCTTCAAGACCGACGCTGCTTCGAATGCTTCGTAGGCTGCCGTTTTGGTGAACGCCACACCCAGCAACAATGCGGGCTTGACCCGAGGAGAAGGCGTTGCCCACCTGGCTGTCCCCGGCGTTTCCCAGGTCCATGATGGAGAAGTCGAGAATAGGGGCAATATTGGGAATGGTCTGGACGAGCTTCGTCGTTTCGGTCTCAACAGAGACTGAGAGAAGCTGGGAGTCGCCGTAGTGGGAGCCCAGGAAAAGCATACCATCACCCATATATACCAAGCACGATGCGCGAGAAGTGACGCCCAGCATTCTCATGAACAGGCCCGTGACAACAACGCCTTCAGTTTGAATCGTCAGGAGGTGAAGGTTCCCATAATCGTCGGAGAGGAAGTAGTTTGTGTGGTCGTAAGCAGCCCATGCCACGAAGATGGCCGGACTGTCGAGCCCTTCCTCTACTACTGTCCCCGTGAGGGTGTCGACGTAGACCAGCAAAGTCTCCCCAACAACGACCAAGCCACCCAACTGTGCTTTCGACCCTGTAGTGTCTCTCTTGTGATAACGCTTGACGTCGTCTTCGATGATGGGCACGGGTATGATGATGCGGGCATATGGGTCCTTGATGTCAAGCTCGTACTCCCTGTCCTTGCTCGGATCGAACCTCGAAACATTTGTGTTCTTGTCATCGCCCATCAGGCGGTAAATGGCGAGTCGGGCGTCTTCTTTGTCGATATTGGACTGATATAAGAAGGCGATGGTTGGGTTGCCCGTGTCGGTGGGAACGAAGGCGCTGGCCTTGACAAAGAGCTCGGACAGGCGGACCTGCTCCCATGCTCCGTCAAGACGAGCGAATTGGCCTTTGCGGTTTCCCAGGCGCATGACATTCATGACTCCCTCCCACAGGTGCATGGCCATGAATCTGCCAGTGGGGTCTACCAGGCACTTATCCTGGCTCTGGGCGTCGCGCATATGAGGTTCGGCGGCATCTTCTATGACCTGTTCGGTGTGCAGCCTCTGTGTTCCGGGGCCCCATCTCGCCGTGAAGTATTGGAATCGATCGGTGCCGACGAACAGCAGGTCGGCATTGCTGTCCTTGGGTCGTAGTCGTTGGAGGAGTAGGATGGTGCCGTAGACAACGGCAGAGCCGAGCATGTACATGTCGGTGGGCGTGACACGCCATACTTCGAGCCTGTTGGACCTTCTTGAAGGGTGTCAGCGAGGGGGAAGAACGAATGCATTGGAAGGACAGCAGCGAAAACGAGGCGGCGGCGGCGTATTGAGACAGCCGGGCATGGAGGGGCAGGAAGGGCGGCAAACTCACGCTACCACGAGGCTCTCGGTCTCGTCGTCCTCTGACAAGCGTACGCTCAAGGCGTGGCGTATGCTGCTTGGCCTGTGAATGGGGGCGACGTATGACATGGTGCCAGTCTGTGGGAGGGACCTATTCGAGGTAGCAGCTCTGATCCCACAAGATGGCGGCCATGGATGAGAAAGCAAGCAAAGACAGACAGATGTGAGGGACGGGGACGGAAACAGTTCGGACGGTGCTTTGCGTCGGAGTTTAGCTGTCACAGAGTCCGGGGGGGGGGGTTGCCCCTCCACTAACTAGGTACCTAGGTACGGAAGATGGTTGATTACGTCATCTATTACAGCCCTACCGTATATACATTGTACTAAGTAGGGTGGTAGGTAGATGGGTACCATAGTATCCGTAGGTAGGTAGGTAACTACCTACCCTAGTACGTACACCACAGCAGTAGTGCTGTGTTGTCGGGAAAGGCCGCGGCCTCAGACGCTAGGGCCACACTATAGAGGACTGGCTGGCTGCGGGATGCAAATGCAGGTGAGGCGAGGTGAGGTGCAGGAGGCCAAAGGCAAGAGCCAGCATATGAGGCAGGTGTGTTATCGCCGTTATCGCCCCACCTCGCCTCGATGACCCTCAGGCGTTCCTCCTATTTAGAGCGCATATCATTCACACTGTATGGGATCTGCGAGATGTAGTACAATCATACCGTACGAATATAATTCCATGTGTACGGTATAACAGTCCCGGAATTGCATCCCGTCCAACTCTTCTCCAGCAAACGTCTGACCCTCAGCATCGATTTAGGAAAATCACCGTTAGGAAACGCCCCCTTCCCACATCTCTCGAGCCGTTGGCGCTGACAGCAGACACCCGGGCATGCAACGCACCATACCCCCAACCAATCAACAAAACAAGTCGTTTCAAGGGCATCGCTGGTTGGGCGGTTCCCAGATCATGGCCCAGTTCAAGTGAACCAAATCGACGCCCAAGCTGCCAAAGTCCACCCGGTGCTCTTCAACATCCTTGAATCCAACCTTGGTGTACAAATGATGGCCGGCCGCCGACGACTCCAGATACACCGGTACCCCCAGCCTAGCACCCTCTTGCATCCCCGGCGTCATCAGCTGGAGACCAGCACCGCGCCGCTGGTGCTTGGGGTCCGTTACGAGGATGTGGATATCTGCGTCCAGTCTTGTTAGCTACCGAACCAGCCAACTCTTCTGTTGTTTGTTCGTCTTTCTCTCCCTCTCTCCCTCTCTCTTCCTCTTCCTCTCAAAGACCACTTACAAACGGACGGCTTCCCTGCCATCAAACGCTTGCGCATCTCGTCCAGCCCGCCAAACATCATGCGGTATGCCTTCTCGTTGTACCCCGGCTGCACCTCTCGCGGTTTTGGCTCTGGCATGCCATCCGCGTGTACATTGAACTTGCACCAACCAATGATCGCCTCGTCGCCCGAGAGCGCAGTGTCCACTGCTTTGAACATGCGCACGGTCGTGTCCTCGCGAAGCTGTTTGGCCATCTCGTCTGCTCGAACCTCCGACATGTTCTCCGGCAAGGGGCCGGAGAACAGCACTTGATTGAGCGGGCTCTCCGCGAAGGCCAAGTCCTCGATCTCGGCGCAGCGCCGCAAGTCGGCCTCGACTATGGTCTGAATCTCGATGCCCATGTTTCTGGTCCTGTAACCGTCGCGCAGCTTGTTTCGACCTCGCAGCGGGGAAGGCTCCCGTATACTTGCACCGTGCCACCCTTTTTGTACTCGAAGCTGCCTAGGCGGGCCAGCCGTCAAGGTAGATGATGATTCGTGGCCGTTGGAAGCCATCATCCGTTCGGTCTGACTCATCACAGACAGGCCTAACCTGGACGCGTACGAATGGAGCCTTGGCATCCTCTGCGGTGGGCCTGTGAATGGGATTGTCACCGCCCACCTAGGAAGGTCGCCGACCGTAGGATTGTTGCCTTGTCCACATGCCACTTGTTCTCTCCCAACTTTTAAAGTTTCCAACGGTTATACATTCTTCGTAGGCCGCGTTATTCCAAACATAGTTGGATGTGTCTTTACAGTACTTACAACCACTTCAAAATGACACTTTACACAATAGCCTCGGCCGCTCGTGAAGGGAACTGGTTGCCGGCTTAATGAAGCACAACACCATGTAGTGCGTGGCTGTATTAATAATTACTAGAATATATATGGAAGCGATACGAAAAACAATGCGTTGAGATGATTGAAGCTCGGTAAGGTGCTTTATGCTAGGAGCATATAAACTCCTCAGAATAGGAATGACAAGCTTGTGCATATATTGCAATGTGCAACCAAAAGAAGGCTCTGTTGGCGCTCCAATTGTGCCAATTTAAACCAAATCCTTTTCTCTTAGGATACATTGATGATATCTTCGCGCTTCTAAACTTTGAAAGTTTCCTTGGACTTCATTCCTGTAGTGATTTGGCTTATATTCGAGCAGTATTATTCTCGGGGGAAGAAGACAGTTATGATATCCGAAGTTCCGGTACTGCCGCATCAAGCGTTTCCAAACCTCGGAATTGTCATTGCCAGCGCTTGAGAATTAATCAAAAGTTCTGCTGTGTAATGAGCTGCGCAGTCTTCTTGAACATATGTTGCTGGAGTGATGCTGGGCCAGACAGGTCTGCCCACCAACGAGCATATTGTACTCTACTTGCGAAAGACTAAAAACCGCCAAAAGCCTTTCATCTATGGTATTATGGCCGAGAGGTTCATCCTGTAACTCTGGCCGTTTATCACAGTGTTGGATGACTAAAGATGGCCCTCAAGTCAAGATTTGAACGACTTCCTTCTTTCGAGTCGGATGACAAGCTCATTCCTTCAAGGGTTCTCGGGAACCGAGCTGCATTTGAAGCAACACGTAAATCAAGAGGGGTTTACTTTAGCATGGTCATGAGCTTAAATAAACATGAGACCAAAGCCGTGATCTAAGCTCCCCCCTCCCGTCAGAAAACAAAACGTTTGGACTGACCTTGATTGCCTCTCCCGCTCCACGGCTTGGTATCCGGCCCGCTATACACCCGGGGACGAATAACAAAGTGCATGGCGAGACTGTGGCTGGAGGCGTTTGTGCAACATCTCTCTTGTGTGGCGAGTCCCTTGATCTCAGCCACGCCGTCCGTGATGAAACCGGGCTCCGTCCCAAGCTGGCCCTGGGCCAGGGCGCACCAGCCTGGCTCATCGGCGTACCTACCGATGCTTATGCTACCCCCTTCTTCGCCCCCCTTCCCGGCCTGAGAAGGAGCTGCTCTGCGGCCAGTATCAATGGCACGAGCGCAAGTGGTCAAGCCCTCCCTCCCTCCCTTGCGGTCAAGTAGGGTGCCTACATGCGTCGTTGCATCTCCGTCTGAGCGTCTCTCACAGAAGCCCTTGCGCGCTGAACTGCAGCTGCGGAGTGTGTACGGAGTACAATGACGTTTGCACCTGTGTCGACGGCGTTGATAGTTCCCAGCATTCGTATGTCCGGTACTTTCTTGTCTGGATGCGGTGTGGACAGCGAGGGAACGGTCTCCGCGTATCTGCTACAGCCCGTTTGGAATGATAGGACGGACTAGAGGTCATCCCACAGGCTGCTGACGGAGGAGAGACGCGTTTATACACCATTGAGGCATACGGAACAAGCAAGGGCGCCTCGTGATTGAATAACCATGAACAGGTAGGCGCGTAACATTATGGTAAGTCAGCCATAGATAAATCAACCCATTGCAAACTTTTGCATCATGCAAAGAGCCTCTTTTATCTTAGAAAGAAGAGGAAAACGAAAAGAGGCTGGTTGATCATTGCTACGGCTGGTGCTCTCAACCAACTTTGGAACCGATTTAGGACACCAGAAACACAGATATCTGATCGGGACACAGGTCAGCCGAATACCTGCAAGTTGAGTCCCAACGTCCAAGTGCGGGTGTGTAAACTGGTAGCGTGAGCTTCCTCGCCGCCAAGGCCGTTTACTTGCCGAATGACGAAAGCCATGGCATCGGGGAGGATGAGATAGCCATGTCCCCTCCTCCCCCATATCGGCCGAGTTACAAGGTCGAAAGGGTGGAACGTCCTACCGTCCCTGTGTCGCCCGCAGGAGATGCAATCGAGTTTCGCCCAGCCCAACAGGGCCTACGAGATCATCCTGCAGCGTGTTACTCACAACCCGGATGCCTCGCGATGCACGGCCTTCGATCCATTGCGGTGGTTAAGCAAGTGGAGAGGGAAGAGCTGCACCGGCCCGCGGGCATCAGAGGCATGGGGGCGCAGCAACGTTGTTGGCCTTTGCCATCTTCGCTGACGAATAACGCGCCCTCTTCCGGTCCAAGTGCACATAGGTATTTGTATTTGAATATCTTGCGTCCTGCAAAATGGTCTGAGCTTTCGACCTGCGTCCCCGGCTACCTGACCGAGACTGCAGCTTGCTGCTCATCTGACGAGGGGGGATCTACCTAGCATGGGTATGCGTCCGGGAGCAAAGTTCAACGGAGCATCCTCCTAGGTCCCCGATTACACATGACTGTAGTGTACTAGGTATGCCTACATCTAGTTTCAAGAGGCTCCTGCAAAGAATCTGTCATCATATCCCCGTAACCTTGTCCCTCTTGTTGCCAAGGTCCTTGCTTCTGCCTTCCCTTCCCTTCCTGCATAAGGTTTGCTACGCACGGGTCGAGGGTTCACCGATCAGCAAAGTCTATCCATCCGTCTGCGGAGACACACCATTTGTTATCGAGCTGTCAGAAGTAGAGAGACGCCCTTGCGCCGATTGGTGTTTACAGGCTCAAACACAGACCTCATGTGGCCGCCAACACCTCGAGAACCCTTACCTCCCCGACGCAAAGACCAGACCTGCGAGTGGATGGAGGGGGGTTATCGGCATGCCACATTCCTACACTCCTCCAAGATACGTTTCAACAGTCTCACGTCTGCAGCCTGCGTTGGAGCCTACGATGCCGCACCGCGTCCGGCCCATCTCGATGCTGCTGACGACCCAGTCTTGGGACCGTCACGGACAGGTCGAGCGAAGGTTATAAACCTATTCCATCTCCCGTCAAACAAGACATTATTTTTTGGAGCATCCAAGAACTCAACGACATCAGCTTGGTCACTTCTACCATCTTTTCTCCACAAACCTTCAGACCCCCGAATCGTCTGGCATTGCCATACCAAGCCAAAAAATGCATTCCCCGCAGCTGGTACTTGTTCTCTTCGGCCAGGCGGCCATCACCGCCGCCATGCCCCTCCAGTCCCTCTGGGCTGCCGGGGTGGGCAAGAGGGCACCCGGCGATCCCGACGCCATCGAGAAGGCTCTGGCCCCCGTTTCCGCGTCCCTCACGACGCTCGACAACGCCATCTTGGCTTTGGACGGCGGCCCCGCCACGGCCAACAACCTCCTCATCGCCTCCCAGCAGACCCAGTCGGCCACGGAGCAGGCCACTGTCAAGATCCAGAGCTCTGGCGACCTCGGCGTCTTCAGGGCGGCCAGGCTCCGCCGGACGACGGACGATCTCATCGATCAGACGACGACCACGATCAACGACTTGGTCTCTCGCAAGCCCGTCCTCGACAACATGGGCGTCAGCGGCGTCGCCTTGGAATCACTCCAGAAGCAAAAGGTCTCGACCGTGGCGTTGACTGCCGCACTGGAGGACAAGGTTCCCAGAATCGGCCAGAGGATCGCCGCCGATAGCCGATCCAAGATCGAATCCGTACTGGACCAGGGCATCGCCGCCTACTCGGTGCCCGCTCCCGCTGCTGCCCCGGCACCCGCCCCTCCTGCTGCTGTAGCTCCGGCTCCTCCTGCTGCTGTAGCTCCGGCTCCTCCTGCTGCTGTCGCCCCGGCGCCTCCTGCTGCTGTTGCCCCGGTTCCTGCTGCTGGCCCAGCCAACCCTAGCGGCATCCCGCTTGCTAGCCCTGGTTCTCCCCGGGGGAGCCCGGTACCTCCCCCGGCGGCAGCACCCTCGCCGGTTCCGGCTGCTCCTATCCCGCCTGCTGTGCCAGCCGTCGGCGCTCCCCTCCCCGCACCGGTACCTCCCCCGGCTGTCGGTGCTCCTCCTGCGGCTCCCGCTCCTGTTCCCAACGTCCCGGTCCCGCCTCCCAAGATCACCCCCGTTACCGGCCGCAAGGACAAGAAGAAGAAGAAGATCGCGGCCTAAGTCAGAGGTGGAAGGCGACAGCGCCAGGGTTGCCGTCGGACGGACCGAGCAAGTGAGACGATGATGCGTTAGGAGCATGGAGGCGTCGGAGTTCTACAAGACACTAGGAGTGTATCGAATGGAAATCTAATTTTTTCCTCCAAAAAAAAAAAAAAAGAAAAACAAGACTTTGGACGACTGAAATGAGTTGAAATTAAAGATAGAATGAATCCATTACAGTCCATGCACACGTACGCACACGCACGCACACACTGAACCGCTCTGTGCGATATCTGAAACATTGATTTCCTCGTGGTGAGCATCCGTGAACTTGATGCGCTCTCCACGTTTGAGATACTCGTGGCCGAGCGTGCTTGCAGCCTGCCCTGTGGCCAGGCTTCGTGATGATCCTTCGTAGTGTAGAGGATGAAGCACTCCCCGGTGGTACGACTTTCCGAGCACGAGGCCATCTCGAGACCGCCTTAGCCTTCTTCTGATACAGTCAGTCCGCAGCGATTCAGACTGCAGCATATTGGCTACGTCGTTCAGCAGTCGAGGCAAAAAACATCTTCTTCAACCTAGACAGGTAGGTGTTTCTACCATCCACAGTTCACAGTATGCAGGGAAACTCGCGTCAATAAGAAGAAGGATGCAACGAAGCCAATATAGTGTGTACAAGTCCTACCTCAACCAATTGAACCGACGTGTTTTGTTTGTGGCAGAGTGCGATAGCCGAAATGCACAGCTCGCTCCCTCCAGCGTTTCTATATGAAGCCCACCTACACCCCCACATACAGTCTGTTGCGTTGGCAGCGTCCAAAACCTATTTTTCAGTCCGTGCACCTGCGCCACATAAATGCAACCCCATGCAAATTCGCGTTTTTTAGCTAATAGGATCTAAAATTAATATTACCTAATATTAGATAGTTATAATAACTTAAAGTTATATATACTAGTAATAATAATAATAATAAGGGGATTTAGACCTATATAAAGCTACTTATTAGCTATATATCTAATTATCTTTTTAACACTTACCTTATAGATAGGTTTATCTCTTATTATAATAGTCTATAAGAGTACGCCTTTTAAATAGGAGGCTAAGTTAATAAAGTTATAAGAGTAATATATATATAAAAAAAGTAAAGTCTATAATAACCTTATTACTATTACTTACTACTACTATCCCTTACTAAATAAATACTATATTAAATAAATATAATAGCACTAAGGTTAAATAAGGGTAAGAAAAAAAAAATAGTATAAATCCTTAAGTTATTTAAGAAAATAAATAAAAAGATTACTAAGTAGCTAGGCTATACTACTTATATAGTCTAGTAATAGCGTTATTATTATAAAATAACTAGCTAAGTAATAATTTATCTTACTAGTTAGTAAAGCTAAATAAAGTTAGAAGTATAGTAACTATATAAGTTATTAAAGCTTTTTACTTACTATAATAACCTTAGCCTTAAAGAAATATAAGATTTCCTTTATAAGTAATTTAATATAAAGGTTTATAAGTTAATAATTAGTTAGTAGCTTTATATAGCTAGGTAGACGTTAAAGTCTATTTATATTATTACTACCTAAAGGGATAAGGTACTATAGTGTAACTAAATATATACTATTTATAAATACTACCTAAAGTAATTAGTATTTATTAATAAGTTAGGTGTTAATAAACGTATAGGTATATAGAGGATAAGTTAGGCACTAAAAGGACTATTACTATATTAAAAAGATAAGCTTAAATATAAGTAGTAATACTAAATCCTTTTTACCTTTACTATAGATAGTATTTTTAATATATTAATATACTTAAGTATAATAAATAGTAATAGGTTTATAATATAGATTTAAAATAAGGTTTTACCTAAGTGTAGTGCCTTTCTTACTATAAAGTTAGTTATTATTATAAATAATACTAGCTTTTACTACTAATAAGATATTTAAGAGGTATATAATTTAGCTAGTATATAACTATTATATTTACTACTATACTTACCTAACTTTAACCTTATTAAGGAGGTATTTAGTAACCTTAAGAAGCTCTTTTATAAGTAGTACCTAGAATAAAATAAAGATAAAGAGGATTTATATAACTTTAATAAGCTACTTTATAATTATATAGTAGAGGTTAGTTATAGTATAAAATAGATAAAAGGCTATTTTTATTACTTATTTATTAACTTTAATAGTATATAAAGGTTATTTAATAATATATTAATTAATAAAGATAGTAGTAATATTAAAGGTGCTTTTATAACTAGTAGAGAAAGTACTATTATTAAAGTAGTAATAAAGAAAAAAAATAACTATTAATAGATAGTAAAGAAATCTAACTATAGTAACTACTTATTTACTTTTACTACCTTACTTTTTATTAGCCTTATTATATTACTTTTTATTTTTATTACTTTTATATAAATCTATTAATAACTTATTATTAGCTATATATATTAAGTTATTAGCTTTACTACTATATAACTTATTAAAGCTAAAGTTATTTAGCTTATTACGTATTATAAAGTTAAAAAGGTGTTAACTTATATAAATAATTAGTAAGGATAAATTACCTAGTTATATAGGGGAGGAGATAAAGAGACTATTTACTACCTAAAGGTTAGTATAGTTATAACTACTAGATTTAATTTAACTAACTAAATCTACCCTTCTTAAGGTTACTTATCTTATTAGTTATAGTATTTATAATAGGCTGCTTATTAACCTTATTAACTTTATTAACTTTATTAGTAATATATAGTAATTTATACTATTAGTTAGAGCTAGTAGAGTTATATTTACTATACTTATAGTACTACTATATAAGTAGGAAAGTCTTTATTAACCTTTATATAGTGCTAATAAGGGATTTAGGTATACCTTTTTCTTTATACTACTTTTTTAGTATACGCTAAATAACTACTAAGCTTAATAAAGAGCTTTATAGTTATTAAAGGGCTATATTAGTACTGCCTTTATAGCCCTATTATTACCTTTTAACTTTAAGAAACTAGCCTATAAAATCTTATACCTCTAGTAACTACGCTATAAGTAACTACTCTTTAGGTTATAGGGGTAATAATAATAGCACTTTAGTCTCTCTTATTAAATACGCTAGTAATAAGTTAATTAATAAAGTAATAGGTATATAATAATACTATTAGATTAAAGATAGCTACTATTATAAAGGTAATTAATACTACTACTATATAAAAAGGCTAACTTCTTTACTACTAAAGGATAAATTAACTACTATATTACTAGTAAAGTTATTTATAGTTAGTAAAAAAGGCCTACTAGTAGGATTTTTACCTCCTTTAAATCCTACTATAGAAGGTAAATTACTTATAACTTTACCTTATATAGGCGTATTATCTTTTTTTATTAGCTACTAGGTAACTATAACTATAAGGCCTAGTAGTAAATCTTTTAAAGTTATATTTACTTTATAATAAAGTATTATATTTTACTAGGCTTTAAGATTATAAGTAAGTAACTTATAGTAGACTTTAGTAATAACTAAACACTAGTTAGATTAAGAAATAACAGGTAGATTAGTAGGTTAACTGGATAGATAGGTAAATAGATAGGTAGAAAGATAGGTGTAGTTTTATTGTGCTTAGAAGGTATAGAGAGCTAGAATCCCTTAAGGGGATCTTATCTCTATATATAATTAACTAACTTCTATATTTCTAGTAATATATATATTAACCTTTATATTATATTATACTTATTATACTATTATATAGATTTGAAACCTTATATTGTTACAGCCTGTTTTAAGCTAGTTACAGCCTGTTACACTACTTGTTACAGCTTGTTACAGCATAATACGGTCTGTTTAATATCTAGTTTTATTTAAGTAGATATTTTATTTTTAGTACCCTAGAGTAAATCTAGTTACTATTAATATATCTACTTTTTATACTTCTTAGAGATAGAGTACTAGAGAGTAAATCTCTATAGGTCTATATCTAGAAGTAAAGGTTATATTAGATATCTTATATATATATATATATATATATAGTAGTGTTACTTTAAGGTTATAAATAAGGTTATAAATAAGGTTAAATTTAAGGTTAAATTTAAGGTTATAATTATATAAGCTTTTATATCTAAGTTACCTCCTTAAGGTTTATATATTTATATAAAGCTTACGTGTTATATAGGTAAAAAAAAAGAAAAAACCTAGTGTATATATATAAGGGAAAACTTTAAACCCTTTATAGTTATATATAGTAAACAATCCTTATAATAAGGTAAAAAAAATTAAGAAGAGGAAACCTCTTTATTCCTTATATTCTAAAGCCTTATATTTTATATTACTTATAGGCTTAGGTAAAAACCCCTTAATATTAAGATTTATAGTATCTTTAAAGTAGTTAATTATATTATTATTAACTGCTTTTATAAATATATCTGCTAAATTATTTGTAGAGTGGACGTGATATAGTATAATATCCTTATTATTTATATGTAATCTAGAGAAGTGATATTTAATATCTATATGTTTAGCTCTTTTATGTAGTTCTAGATTTTCTGCTATTCTCTAAGCAGCTTTGTTATCTATTAATATTATAGGTTTATTTAATTCTAAATCCAGATCTAATTCTTTATAAATATATTTATAAGAATTATATAGGTATATAGCTTCTTTAGTAGCTTTTGTTAAGGCCATATATTCAGATTTACAGCTAGATAAAGCTACTGTTTTCTGTTTTATAGAGTTCTAACTAATAATATTATAGTAACTAAAGGTAAATATATAACTAGAGGTAGATATTCTATTATCTAGATCTCTAGCCTAGTTAGAATCTGTAAAACCTACTATCTGTAGGTCTACTTTACAGTCTATTACTAGGCCTAGATTAGGGTATTTCTTTAAATATCCCTATATATAATCTAGAGCTAAAAAATGCTCTTTAGAAGGATTACTTATATATTGGGCATATATATTAATGGCATATGTTATATCTGGCCTAGTTTTTAAGCTAGCGTAAAGTAAAGAGCCTACT